CTGCCAGGAGTGTGTGAGAGTACTGCTTGTTTTTCCATTTTATTTTCAAATTATAAAAGTAGCAATAAAAGACTACAGCAGCAGTGGTTTGCTAACCAAACAGGAAAATGACTTCCACTTGGGATGGGTGTGTAACCTGGTTTTAAATGACGAAGCCACTTGATTAGATCCAGTGGCTTTTAAAATTGCTGGTGATGGAATCCTAATCACATTTCCTTAATGTCTGCAAAGCCTCCACTTGCCTGTGATTTTCAGCTTTTACTGGGCTTTACCGTTTTGTTCCTTCCATAAATGAATTGACCCTAAAAAATATAATGAGGGAATGTGGGCATTTAACACATTTGTTTATTGTTTTATAATGTTTGACTTTAAAAATAAATACTAGAACTTACATGACAGTTATCTTAAAGTCATGTACTACGCTGCAGTGTTTGACACCCTGGGTCACTGAGCTGAAAAGAGAAAAAGGAGAGAGAGATTAGTATGTGATTTGGGATTGTGTGTTTTTTCTCAAGTGAGTAAGGCTGCTTCTTACTTGATGTGAATGATTATTGATTACCATGCTCTCAGAATCACAATTCTGTGCACAATTTATAGGACATGGTATAAAATAAAATTCAGTGTCCCTTAAAAAATGAAGACTTTTAAAGAGGCGATAAAAGGGCCTTAAATCAAACTTGTAACCTCCCTGAGCATAGGTGCCTCTGTGGTTGTGTCGGTGACACATGGAGGAAGCCACCCTGACTAGAATTCTTTCTTGAGTTAGTAAGCACTGAGAGGGGAGGGCCGGGATCTGATTAAGGTGGCAGTGTGCCTCCATTCCAATGGGAAGCACAGCTTGTTTCCAGGGAAACCTGAGGACTCCAGTTAAAATGCAACCAGGGGATAAATACCAATCCTGACTCCAATGACCTGCTGAGTAATGAGCTATGCTTCATCACTTGCTTTAAACTCCAACACCTACTGTGTAATACATGCGGCTGCTCTCTAGGTTAAAGACAGAAGAGCACTTGAACAATGATTGCTGTGATCACTTGTATTACATCTCAAAGAAATCTAGATAGTCTAAAATAAGAATCAGAAAGGATGCTTATTTAGGGAAGTTTCTTTAGATATTTAATAAACAAAGGAAATTAAATCATCAATGTGTATTGATCATTCTGCTGTTATCTTTATACATAGATTTACATCATTCAGAAATCAATTCTAAGATTTGTTTTGGGTACTCAAACATATCATTAGTGATTTCATTTATCCAGGGATCAATTATCTGTACCATCTAGATGAAGAAGTTGAGATTCAGTAGAAGAAAGCTGCTTCAATGATGACCAAGTTTAGTAGGTGAGATACAGAGAGGCAAAGTGGCTCCACCTGCCAAGGGTAACCTACATACCAGACCAGACACTGTTTTAAATGGTTTCAATATTGCTGTTTCTTAGTCAAAACTCAACTAAAAGCGGTCATCTACCTTACTCAGGCCTATTAAGTTCCCAAACGACTTCCATTTGGGAATTTAGAAGGCAGACCTTCACTGCAGCATCTTTCAGCTCTGCCTTCTGTGTTGCTACCTCTTCAAGGGAGTTTCTGGTATGGTAGCTGGGAGGACTTCAGCACAGCTCTGTGGAAGAGTTTAACACCCTGATGAAGGAGACCCATGCTGTGGCCCTGACTTGTTTATTTGCCCACTTCTTGGATGCTGTTATGGGATATTTTTCGTGGAGTTGGTGAAGAGCAGAGGCATTCTTTATTATGTAGACTGAGAGTGGAGAGACTTTGTTTCCAAAAGCTGCCTGTTGATATTATTAACATAAGAAGGGAAAATGATTCGACATACCCTGTAGTAACCGACACCCACCGCAAAAGTATAGTTATTGACTCTGTTTACCCAGAAGCCAAGTGTAGCTGCAGAAAGCCTGGGGAGACTGCTTCACTGAAATACTAGTGTAGGCCTTCTCCAAAGACAAAAGAACCATGGAGAGGATTTATAATAGTGCATGCTTCCAAAGAAAACCATTCTGAGCACCCCAAAAAGGAAGATAGCTTCTTCAAACAAAATGGTACAGAGATGGCTTTATGAGGGTGTGAGTACTAGGGAGCTTTATGACTGCTCTGGAATGTATACTTCACAATGACTAACATTTTAATGTGAACATATGACTTAAAAACCCATAAATTCTGGACTGAACACTTGAGTATCATGTCTATTTTTCTTTTCATCTCTGTCTGACTCAGTGGAGAACCTCAATAATTTTTACCAAGTCAATGAGTTCAAATGGATGGCAGATAATGCAAATTTACTTTATTTTATAGTGAGTTATACAGCTTGATATACTGTAAAATACTTTCCATGTGTACCTGATAAATATTTAAAAATATGAAATAAGAAAAGCAAAAGACAAGTGATATTCTACTTTTTATTTTGAGTGAGTCAAATACATGTTCTTCACCATATTTTATCAGCTAATTTTGTAGTTCTTCATATTTTACCAATGAATAAATACAGTATCTCTATCAAAAAACTTTTTGAAGAGATTGATGATTCATAAACAATTTTCCTCTCATTGTATGTTAACACATTAGAAAAAGGAATTAAGAGGCACCTGACTCATCTGAGAACATGCAACTATTTTCTTTTATATTGAAAAGCAGCTATTGTGCATATGTAAACAACACAGCAATTTGATATGTATATGCATTATGAAATGGCTAAAGCAACCAACTATTTGAACTTTTCAGAGCTAAGTTGTATCTTTGAGAGACATTGCAATCAGGATATACTTTAATGTAATTCTCCTTGTGCCTGTGGTATCCAAAGTTTCTCATCCTCTGCTCATGAAGGATACTGCCACAGAAAGACTAGGATGCTAACAGTCCTTACACACTAGAGTAAGGAGCCAGAAAAGAGTATAACCTTTATCATAATATGATGTCAGTCAAATTGGATGCTCTCATTCCTGTCCTGATCTCTTTAAACCTTTAGGACCAACGACTCACATATTCAACAGCAGCATTGGCATATATATATACACATACATAAAGGCATAGACACACACAGACACACATGAGGGATGGGTTGGGGAGGAAGAACACCACACATCTTTCTCTAAACTGTCATAATCTCAAAGTTCTTGGGTTAGGATTTGTAGTTGTATGATATTCCTCTAGATGTCTCCACTGATCATTTTGATAAATTTTCATAAATAAGGAATATCTGTGACCACATTCATCCATTTTCCTTTATGATATATTTGTATAGCTTCTCTAAGAGGTTTCTTATTGCAAATTTTTATTGATCTTATCCTCTAGAAAAAAATATCCAAATCATCACCTGGGCTGATTCTCAGGAGGCTTCTCAGAGAAGCAAAATCATTTCAGTTTGTAAATCATACCTGGAGTCTTCAATGCTGTGGAAGCACCATAAGTTTTAGCTTGTTTAAGCAGAGAATTGTACTCACAGGATAGACTTAAAACACTTCCATTGCCAAATTCTCACACACTGCATCCTCACAGTCTAGGAGTTGTTTAGCAAGCCCCAGGTCTCACTCTTCTAGATGTCTCTTAGTTTTCTTTCTTTTTAAAATCATCCTGTCAGTTTGTACCATTTTGTAAGCCATGGTTTTTTTTTAAATAAGAACTTTTGAGAATCTTTTGGTAAGGTTCATAAAATATGAATTGTAAACATGAGTAGGATATTTTATGTCAAAGTGACTCTTGGTTGTAGACTGACAACCAGTTTTAGATGCTGAGGTTTAAAATTTGTAGTATCAGTACCGAAATGTTTCTTAGTTAGAAAGTTCTACACAGTTCACTTCTACACAACTTTTCCTATGGACATTTCTCAGCCAAATTCGAAAAAAGCCATCTTATCTGTTGATGATGGTGGATTATTATAAATTATAAGTTCATAGTCACAACTGAGAGCATTTATATTATGATCCTGATATTATGATCCAGCTTATGAATTTTTTAACTGGGAATGCCCAGCCTTAGCTTAGCTTAGTTTCTAGCCAGCTTTCCTTATCTTAAATTATCCTGACTACCTTTAACCTCTGGTCTTTTCCTTTTCTCTAACTTCTGTAAATCTTACTCTTACTCCAGGGCTTGCTGTGTAGTTGGGTGGATGGCTCCTGGAGTCCTACTTTTTTAAAAGCAACTTATTTTTCAACTTCTCATTTTTAAATCTCAACTAGTTTTCTTAAATGTATAATTCACGTAATTGATAAAGCAAAATTATCGTATACATGAAAGTGTCTACATGACTCTACAAAACAATCTGAATTACATAATCTCAGCCTAAAAATCATTTTATGTACTGTTATTATTTAATATGTACTATTATTATTCAATATGGCTAGGTGATACAAGAACATTTTTATTTTACATTACTTTGGATCATGTAGTTTCAAAACCTTTCCCTGTATTTTAAGGACATCCAAAGAAATATTGCCAAATGATAAATAAAATCGTATCACTATGATTATTCTAAAAATGGTATCCATACCTGAGATAAGCCAGTTTATTTATGTTTCTCATTTATATATTTTATTTATTTTGACTGTATATTGTAATGGGAGTGAGATATTTTACCCTAACTAAACTCAATATTCTTCAGGACTAGAGACTTTATGCTATTATGATAGCCAACCAAACTTAATACTTTCTATTATATTTCAAGAATATATACTTGACTCACAACTTATTTTACAGATTTATTTTATTTATAATTGTGCACCCACATGTGTGTGAATATGGCTTCTTGACTCACACTTTTGACTTAAGACACATGGATATCCTTCTTGGACAGCTATGATTCAACACTAGGCAAAATATAAGACTGCCATATTTTCCTTTTAGTTGAATATATTCTCAATATAAGCATATGGGATTAGACATAAACTCAATGTGTTACAAACAGTAATTGCTCGACATTTAATCTGTCTGAGGACTGAGCTCTTTCATTAGCAGTATTCTGACAGCATCTCCTTGTCTCTCCCGTCTAGATCGGGGCACGGTGCAGAAGGTGGTTGTCCTTCCTAGCAACAGCTCTGCCAGTGGGGAGCTCATTCTGGAGGAGCTGCAAGTCTTTCAGGTTTGCCCATTACTGCTATTCATCTCAACACATGCATGATGACATCATTCCTTTACTCCTCTAGCCAGTAAAAATATCCAATAAAAGATTAAATAAACAAATGCAATAAATTTTAAGAGTAGGAAAGCATCAGATAAAAGGAGAAATAGAGAACAAATATTTTTGTGAAGTATTTTCTTATACTTCAAGTTATCTTAACATAAAAGGCTCAAATTTTTTCCAGCTATCATCACAACTCAAAGAACTTTGGTCATCATTATTTTTAAAAAATGAGCCCCTATGGCCAAGTCTAGGGTTTGTCATGAACAGGGTTTTATCATTCCCTTCACAAACCACTGCAACCCGAATGCCTTCACATTGCTGATTGCAGATAAGCTTCCTCATATTTTTGCAAACAGTCATTTCAAGAAAAACTGTTCTCGTTTGATTGCTTTCCATGGAAGTGCCACTCTGGATAAACAAATCAAATGTTCTTTCTTAGTGCTTGAAGCCTTCTGTTCTGTCCTTACTTGAGATTTCACTGTATTATTCTCCTTGTATTTGGGATCTAAAAAAAAGAAAAACAACAAAACAAAAGCAAAAAGTATTCACAGAGAACTTCACTTCTCTAAGATCTCTGCCAGTCAGGACACAGGCCCAGAGGCCTTTTCCTTCTTTTTACTTTTAGATAGAGTGTGCCCCTCTAGTCTGACCTCAGCTTGGGACCTTCCTACCTCAATTTTCCAAGTGTTGCACCTTTATAGACTGAGGTGACCAAGCTCAGCTGCCATTTCTCCAAGTATCTGGGAACCAGCAGAACCGGTCCGGTAGTCCTGCCTTGCTAGCTTCTCTGTAGCAAGGCCATTGCTGTGTACAGGTATCCTTCTTATCTGCATTTGGAAACTAAGGGAAGCACAGCAAAAGAGTTGCAAGGAAACTTTGGCCTGGATTCAATCCTTACATAGACCATTATTGACAACTAAGCCAATTAAGACACAATGACTCCTGGCGCACACAGCCTGCCACTGACTGAGGATTTTACTCAGTAGCACTTAGAACTCCCAGAAGCAGAGCATCTCTGGTCCAGTTGGCTGTCTTGCTTGACTTGAAACCTATTGTCTCATTAAGATCATTATTGTGTTTACTAAGACTATTGGTTTCATAAGCGTTTAATTGCTTAAGATACACTGCTGATAGATTTCATGATTAAATTTTAAAATTAAAAATATAACGAAGAATGGAGTCTAATATAAGTTAGAGGCACACCAGCTACTTTCCAGTGTGTTATTAAAGTTAGCACTTGAAATACTTAACTCTAATTTGCACTAGGTTCCTTGTGACTAACACATTAAATTATGCCCATCTAATAAATGTCAACTCTATCTATCCCAGCATGTTTTGCATGCTTGGTTTTGTAAAGAAGTTGAATGTTTCACTGCATTAACTAAAATTGTATTACATATTATGCTTTTTTTTTCCTCATGCAACCAACTAGGAACAAGTTGATGGTTCTTGAAGATAACAAAAAGTTATATAGTGCAAACACTTAATTTCTAATACTGAAGTATTTTTTTGGTTATCAAGAAATGTTTAATGAAGTGAGCTTGACACAAGTCTAAACACATATGTTATGGCAAAGCTGTAAAGACATGTACATTTTTCTGATCAAGTGAGAACTATGTATGAGCTGTTACATGACTTGCTCTGTTGTTATCATCAAGGAGAAGAAATTCTCAGTGAAAATGCATACCCAGACACAGTGTATGTGGGGGGCATCATTCTTAAGGTGTTTGAGCTTCCTCACTGATGTCTGTATGTTTGTTGATACAGCAGAGTCAAAAGACAGCCTGGCCAAGTGCAGTAACTGTCTTTGGCATATGTTTGTGTCACAATTTTGAGGTGAGGTAAAAATAATTGGGTGTGCATGATATATTGTGATGGTCATGTAAGGATATAATGGATTTAAGTAGGAAAAAATTCCTTAATTTGATGTCATATGGAAGTACTGCAGAAACATCAGTGTAGCTTTTAAAAGAACAAGCAGAGTTATTACACAGCATAGAAGCAGAATCTCTTCCTTTAATCCTATATGCAGGGTTGTTTTCTGAAGGTGTCTAGTTTCCGTAAGCTTAAATTGACTTGAGATACAACTTTAGTAGTTAATTCAGTGACTGTAAATTGTCACATGTGTTGCACATGTGTATGTGTGTATATTAATAAAGGATAATAAAAATTATTGCAACTGAGAGTGATGTCACCACGTTTTTCATCTTAAATGCTTACAAATCTATGCAATCAAAAAACTTATAATGGTGGGAATAGTTTAATTTGAGAGCTTGCTCCCCCTTAAATTATTTAAGTCTTCATGGAACATTATCAGGTTATCAGAAATTTAACTTTAAGTTTAAAACTAATTGATGGTACTCAGGAAGTAAAGTTATCAAGTGGCTTTCAGAAGGACTACTTTTGCAGTGAATTCTTTCACAAAAAAAGACCCTTTCTAACTATATGTGTCCTTGTTTCACCAGAGAGAACTCAATAGCATGGTTTAGTCTAATACATTTCCTGAACAACCCTTGTCAGGTGGACAATAATCACTCCTGCAGACTTTTTGTGTTGTGAAAGTTCCCCTATCACACTTCCCCCAACCTGCACACCCAGATCCAACCCTCAACTCAGCATCCCAAATACTTCTTTCAATGATCTCTCACTCGCCAGTTCATTTTAATGCCTGTTGTGGTAAGTGTATGGTAAAACTGTACTTCTTCCAGGTTTAAGCACATGTTACACAGCAAGTCTAGGCTTGGTCCCAAAGAAGAAAGGTACTTTACAAAGAGGTTACGCACCGAGAGAAAAATATGATATTTTGAGTTTATATACAAAGCTTGAATTTTTACATTCAAAACTGCTTTTAAAGACCATATGAGCAGCCGGGTGGTGGTGGGGCACGCCTTTAATCCCAGCACTCGGGAGGCAGAGGCAGGTGAATCTCTGTCAGTTCGAGGCCAGCCTGGGTTACAGAGTGAATTCCAGGAAAAGCGCAAAGCTTCACAGAGAAGCCCTGTCTCGAAAAACAAAAAGTTATATGAGCAACTAATGTACATTTTCTAATCTTTTAGAATCATGTTCCCATAACAACAATGAAAATCTCATCCAAGAAGGTAAGAACTAATAAGAGCTAAGCCACTTTTTATGTTCTATGCATGTTAAAATGTCTTACCATCAGGAAAATATGTTTTTTTAACTTCTGAAAAACTGGTTTTATTTTGATAAGTAATCATACAGAATCATCTCTACTTTGATATAGACTCATTATCTATTAGTGAAAATGGAATAGGTCTGTTTTGCATAAAAATTAATGAGAGCAAACCATATATGGAGAAATGCATCCCAGTGATTTGTATTTGCCATAACCCCAACTATTATGGCATGTGAGGTCCACTATAATAGAAATCAACATTCTAAAGATAGAACTTAGCATAATGTTTGGGCTACTGTAAAATCAAGGCTTTTCTACCAGCTAGGACTGATCCACACACTTCCACTTTCCTGCCGCTGTCATATCTTTGAAATAATCATGCAATGCTATTTCCTAGGATTTATGTATGTCTACAAAACCGTTAGTGTCCCTTATCTATGGGATGCAGATTTGAGGAAGGACTGAGTGATAGTGATTATCAAGAACTAGCTAATTTAATTTTTCCTAACATTCAAGTATTCAATAGTCATGAGCAGGAGATAGCAATTCTAATTTTCCTGTCTATGATGTACCCTGCTCCAATTCCCAAAGGCATTATCTTAAATCAAAGTCCTAAGAGCTGCTTCCCTAGAGTCAGACTGAGTCAGCTTCACATGTATTTGAATCCCCACTTGACTATAAATTAAAAGCAAGTTGTTTAATTTCTGTGACCTAAGTTTCTATGTCTAGAAATGGCCTTTCTCACAAATAATACATGTAAATTGCCTAGGAAAAAATGGCAATATCTAGTGCTGTCTGTAAGAATCTGGATTCTGTTTTTCTTGGAAGAGAGATTAAAGATTTTAGATGTTTGAACAACTGATTTTATAATTGTGGTGCTCTTTGCCATATCCAAACGTACTAGATAGACATGATGTGGTATTCATAGTCAGTCTTGGGATCTTTTCACTTGACCAAATTTTATGAGAACAAATAAATATGACATATTGGAGTTAAAGATCTCATCTGTAAAAATGTTTGTATGGAGCATAGCAAACATTTTCCCAAGTAACAAGAAGTCATTAGTCATTTTGCTAATGTCCTATGGAGCTGATCTCAAGTCAGAGTTGTCTTTGAAGCCGGCAGGGAAGCCTTCTGTTTACGACGGCTTAATGGAAAGAGACGATGTAGAAGCAAGATTTGAAATCTTCACAGTCATTTTTGTGTCACAGTAGTCATATATAAAATGTATGTCTCAACATATTCATAGGTCATATGTTATGTTGATTGTCCACATCTTATAGTGCAGAGAGTTTAATAGTCTCAGTGAAACAGTGAGCATCACAGCTGAGCTAGTGACTTGATTTCCTCCAACTCTCTGGCTTCACTGAACACTGCATTACTTTCTAAGGTGGGAAGACTACAATTTGTGAGAGTGTTTAAATATCATGAATTTGATACCTTTCCTAGTACTCAAATTACTTAAGCATACATTTTTTACCTTATTTCTTTCAATTCACTCTTGTACCCAATTGCAAAATTATTGACATTACTAAAAAATTAAAGTATATAGAATAAAACTACCGTTTCCTTTTTTATCAAATAAACTCTTTCCTTAAAATATTTGTAATTTTATTTATATTTAAATGGACACTGTCACTTGCCCGTATCCTTTAGATAGTTACTTACTTATTCTATAACCACTTACTGGGAACTTACCTGGAGGCCTCCTGAATCCCAGTCACGTCCTTCCACAGAGCTACATCCCCAGCCTTCTTTTTCAACTTTCATTTTGTGACAAAGGTTCAGTAAGTACGCAATGTGGCCTGGAGAAGTTACCCTGTAGCCCAGGCAAGGCTTGAAGTTGACACTCTCCTGCTTTAGCCTCCTAAGAAGCTGGATTCACACACAGATCTGTGCCACAGGGCCTGATGCTAAAAGTTTACATCTGGTGTTCTCAAGTGAATAATAATTGACAGAACACAGAACGTGCCATTGTTTTAAAAGTATTTCAATGTCTATATGGTAATCAATCAGTTTCAGACAATTTCTTAAAATTCAATTGACTTGAATAAAATAGCTATAATAGACATAATAGACTGAGATATGATTCATGTTATTGGAATTCATAATAGTTTGTTCATTAATATTTTGATCTACTCTTGTAATTAATTCATATTCATTGTCAATTCTTTTCCCAGTATGTATTCTGGGAATTTTATTAGGTTTGGGACATTTGGGTCCCAACACAACACAACAGCACAGTATTCATACATTACATAAAATTCTCAAATGATTAAAAAGTAATGTGTTTTTTAAAATTTCTCTATGTTTTACAAATAAAGGAAGGAAACCAATTCTATTTTTTGTTAGAGTAATGAAGACTGGTAGACAAAGAAGACATTTTGAGGCATGTTCAAATGTAACTCTCCTATTTGGGCTGGTGAGATGGCCTAGTGAGTAAGAATACTTGTTATTCAAACATGTGGACCTGAGTTTGCACCACGGCATCCACATTAAACAGCAAGAGGTGGCCATGATCATTACTGTACCACAGAGGGAAGAGGAGGATGGCCAGGGCTTGCTAGGGGCCAGCGTGTCTCCAGGCCCAGTAACTTACTCAAAGGAATTTGGCAGAGTGGGGTAGAACAGAATGCCCAGTGTCCTCTCTGGCCTCTGCATGAGCACACAAACACATACACAAATATGCATATGTCTCTCTCACACACACACAAGCCCAAATATACACTCACATATAAAAATAACACCCAGTGTCCTCTCTGCCCTCTGCATGAGTACACAAGTGTACACAAATGTGTACATGTCACATATACCACATACAAGCCCAAATACACACTCACATATAAAAATAAGCATGGGAATTTTTCAAATAATCTTAAAATAGCTTTAATAACTTTCAAAGACAACGTGTTCACCTGTTTTCACTTTAACTATTACTGGTTATCTAGTACTTTTTGTTCTAAACAAAATGTCTTCTATTTCAAAATTGACTTGCGCTATTGGACTTGAAAAATATGAAAGCCTCTTTGTGATTTGCTAAGAGACAGAAGTCAAAGAAAAAAGAAAACATCATGATTTAAATATGCAATATATTAGCTCAAGTCTGAGAGAACAATGGATCCCAATGTCTAAAACAGATTAGCATTCTATATCGTACACTGGGAGGTGTTATTTTTAGTAGAAAGTGGTAATGTTCTAGGCATATTAATGGTAGGAAAATTCTATTTATTTTGGCTTTATACCCTCTTTGCTTCTTGTTTTGAGTCTGTTTCTAAATGAATCCATGGGTTTGTAGCCATACAGAATAATGTGTTCCTGCTGAAAGTCTTTTAACTTTCCCATCTGAAATAAATCATCATGATTCTCCTTATAGCAACAGTTGTATGTGAGCTCCAATGAGGGGGTTTCCCAAGTGTCTCTGCATCGATGCCACATCTATGGCACAGCCTGTGCAGACTGCTGTCTGGCTAGGGACCCATACTGTGCCTGGGATGGCCATTCTTGCTCCAGGTTCTACCCCACTGGGAAGCGGTGAGTACCAAACATTCATGTGAAAATCCAAATGGACTTCATAGGGCAGTACAGATGTGAATCAGTTCTATGGCTGTTTTGTTTAAAAAGACAATGCAAAACGAGGCCATGTTGATCACTACACACAGCCTTTCAGTAAAGAAGATGCTGCACTTCATGATGTGAGGTTTTGTTCTCTTCTTCATGGAGAACTTATGCTCTAGGACCCATTGAATGTACTAGGCAGCATTTAACTAATTTAGCTATTGTGTGGCTCTGTACCACTATAGCCTTAAACCCCATACTACTATGTGTGGCTACATTGCTTAATTATAACAAAGTTTTTGTCCTTCATATAATTAACAAAAATAGATTAATTTCAAAAGTTAGTATTTGGAGTAGAACTACCTTCATCATTCTTGCCACAAGAAAATTGTTCTAGGAAAAGATACCCACCTGGCTTGCTTTGACAACCTAGCTGGACATGCTTCTTCCTGTTTGGGTAGTGAAAGCATGGTTGCTGGAGAGGATGCACAGCCTAAGTAAAAGTCCAAAGCAAGTTGGAAAAAATTTCCAGTGGAAACACTGATGAGCTAGCAAAGAATATGCAGCAGAAGTGATATTTGCAATAATTTTTGGATATAGGTTATGATGAATGAGAGCACCAAAACCTGTTAAAAATTAGGGTCAGTGGAGGAAGCAAATGATTCCAGTCTTAAGAACCAGTGAACTGTCCAGGAAAGCATTGGCTGATTTTTTAAATTGTTTTTTAGTTACATTATATTTGTGTAATATAAATTTATATTATATTTGTAAATTTAATGTATTTTGATCATATTCTTCCCCTCCTCCAAGCCCCTCCAGATCTTTGCCCCCTCTTTACCCACCCATCTTTAAGTTCTTTCTCAAAAAGCAAAACCTCAATACAGCAAAACCCCCAATCCAAGAAAACAAAATAAAGTCATGACCAAAAAGAAAACAAAAAAATTAACAAAAAACTTCAACTAAATAAAAACAAACACAAAATCTTTGGAGTCTGTTATAGATGGTTTTTAAGCTTTACAGGACCCATGCCATTGGATTTTCATGCCAATCTTGACCATTTTGTCTGTTAATTCAACAAATATTTATCTTGAGACAAGGACTTTTCAGGCATTGTTATAGAAAATGGATATAAAATATGGAAGACAATAACAAAAGGTAGAAATTCGTGTTTGGGTATAAAACGCATGGAAGAGAGAAGACAGACAACACTTAAGGGAGCCTGTGAACATGTCAAATAATCACAAGGTCTCTGGGTGTGAAAAGGAAAAGGGGATTACGTTACCTGGAAAGCAGCTTTTGACAGGTTGAACGGTGGTCAGAGAGGGTCATGGTGTGCGCAGAAGAGTGAACCAGGCGAAAAATGTGAAAACCGTAGCACCAAGGCAGTGTCTGGGGGAACAGCACTCTAGAAGTGTGCTGTGGAAAATTCAAGAGAAAACACCACAGCTCATGCTGGTGCTTATGAAAGGAGAGGGAAGGCTAGAAAGAAAGAAGTAAATGCCCAATGCCCGGTGAGGTAGGACTTTATCTGTATTTTGTCAGCACTCAGTCTTTTCGTTTAGAATGGAAGTCATCCGACTCTTGTTCTAAAAGGTCACTGGCTGGGTGTTGATTTTATTGGAGCACTGGCATTGGAAGTAGTTTGAACAGAGTAGGAGGACAAAGGATACAGAATGGGGTTATAATCTAGGTCATATAGAGGAGCGGTCGAATTCTCTGTTGAAGTGTTTGGTGTGGGAGCTTAGAGAACTGGAGGAGTAAACAAATTCCCAAGTTCTTAAGACGAGAGCACTAGGAAACACATTGGCATCATTGTCTCAGAATGAGCCCTGTAGAAGGAGCATGTGGGAGGGAGACAGAAGACATTAAGCCAAGCATGGCTATGAGATACTCAAGCCAGTGTGTTGAGCAGAGAAAGAAACTTGAGTCTGAAGTAGAGCGAATAGCCTGGACTGGATCCCCCTTCTTTACAAGCACCAGGTATGAGTGGGAATCCCCGTCTTTGAAGCAGGAATCTTGTATCAATGTTCCAAGACTCTGTATTCTTCTCCCACATTTGTCACAGGAGTTGGGCAGGAACTCCTACACATCTGTCAGTTTTCTCTCACTTTTGGATGCTCATTCCCATACAATTGTTTATATTTGTACTGGCTGAAGAGATTAGAACCTGGACACAGAGGGTGAGGGATGCAAATTTCAATCGTAATCACGAATAAATTTTATTTTTGTAGCTGCTATTGGATTTTTCAAAAGTATTTGTCATGTAGTTCTAAATATAGTAAAAGTAGTGTTTTGAAAGTGTTTCCCCAGCTAAATATTTGCCAGATAATATATTTTCCCAGTCAAAGCTCTAGAGCAAAATATGGCATCTCCAGAACCAGGGTTAGAGCCCTTGGTCTTTTAACCAGATTTAGTGAGGAACAAAACTGATACATGATACTTTCTAAAGAGCAAAGTGAAGTGGGAATTATAAATGGAACAACACCACATCCTATAGGTAAATCAGACCCTTGTTTAAATGTGAAAGAATGGAAGGGCAGAACGCCTTCCTTGCAAAGACTGTCTTAGGCCGACAGGAGTTTTTAATTTTCACACAAGCAATGCTTCTCAAGTAAAATTTCATCCCATGTGTGGGGTATCACAGCATATTTGAGATTTGTTGTACATTTTAGAAGTCTTTGAGTATGTTCATATACTGTCTCACCTATTACAAATCCAGTTACATTTTTAAGATTCATACTAAAACATGGGTTACACATCACTATTATATGACCACAAACTATGAATTTAGTCATGGCTCTTTAGAAACAAAGTTTTTACGCTATCTTGCATCTGTTAACTCTTCCAATATCATGCCTAGCATTAAAAAATGCATGCTGGGCTGGAAATCTAAGTATCAACTATTTAAATAACTGTTTTGAATATCGCTACCAGTGTCTTAATTCTATCATGAAAACTTATAAAAAGCAACACACACACACACACACACACACACACACACACACACACACAGTGGATGAGCTTACCCATATTTCTTTTTGGTTAGTGCAATAGACATTTCACTAAAAATATCTATACTGTTTAAATATTGCAAATTATTTCCAACTCAAGCATGCTATGGAGAATGTAAAGTGTGTTTGCAGAATGAATTGATACAGTTTTCCTTATTTATGTCCTAGAGAGACTAAAAGGTAGTGGTAGAAAAGACCATCTGTAATATTTTCAGCATTCACCTTTATGTGGGGGGGTGAGACAGGGTTTCTCTGTGTAGTTTTGGTATCTGTCCTAGATTCTGCTCCATAGCCCAGGCTGGCCTCCAACTCACAAAGGTCCACCTGGCTCTTCCTTCCGAGTGCTGGGATTAAAGACGTGTGCCACCACCACCACCACCACCACCACCACCACTACACCCCCCCCCCCCCGGTGTTCACTTTTTTACTAGTATTATCTGGCTTTATTTCCCTTGAATTATCTGTTTGTAGCAAATACTACATAGATGAATTCATTTTCATTAAAGCAAAAACATACCCTTTGTATGGAAAGAGAGATAGAGTCACAGCCAGAAAATAGTAGAATCCACACATTCACACAGCATTAAATAGCTCCTTTCATTTTAAATAACTTGGTATATAGTAAGCAATATGCACTTTTTTTCTCACCATTTTGAAGTATATGAAATATTTGTGAGTATCAATACTGCAATGTAGTTCCTAATGTTATTTATCCTGAATTCAGGCAGATAGTTGGAAAATGGAAGATGGGATAATCAGTTCAAGCTTTACAAATATCTTTTCTGTGAAAGTAGAAAATGATTTCATTGTTTATCCAAAAGAATTGAGAATAATGATGAAACATCAGCAAAGTCAGCCAAAGCCAAATCCTACATGTAATATAATATCATGCTGCCTACCAGCATGGTTCTGTTATGCTCCAGGAATGCATTCAAGGAAAGTGACACATACCAAAGGCTCTCGCTGATCTCATCATTTAAAAAGAGCTACAACACGGTTTTCTATTTGAATGTCTGGAAGTTGATGTGGCAAGTTTGCTTCGCTTAGCTTGAAAGTTTATGTACTGTACACGAGTAGCACCCCATAGTCCTGACTACAGGACAATACATTTAGACGTTGTGAATGACATTGAGTGTCTGGAAGGCTGAAAATGACCAGCTCAACCCTAAGAACACTCACAAAGTGCTGTTTTAGTATACATTCGCAGGATCAACAGTAGGAAATAATGCAAATACATGGCAGTAAAAGTGGGCATGGGGCTGGTCTAGAACAGGACACTGATCGTATTTCCTTCCATGAGAGTGACTGGTACCTCTACTACTATGCGTGTGTGATACTATACACATATATAATTGAATGGTGCAATGTATATGCCAATATTCCTATAAATATACTTGTTAACATAAAGTATTAACCACTTCTTATAATTTTAAAATGAGATTTTCAAATCATGAGTGACTTTGAGATTAATATTGTTTTGTATGTTTAATAATCACTGTGTACATTTTTATTTCTGCTCATTTTGCTCAATATTTTATCATCAGGATAAAATGTTAGGGCTTAACACAATCCAACTAAATAATATTCTTATTCATAAATCATTTAGCTGTGTATTGTCAATATTTAAAGTCCATATGACTTTTAGGGGTGGCTGTATGCATCCAACTGTTCTCTTTTCCATCATAAAGTAAAAATTAATAGCCCTCATGAACCTGAGACTCAAGAAGAGAAATCACTAATAAGAAAATACCATAAAGTTTTATGTAACTAATTTCCAACTTAAAAAGACTTTTAACTCATTTTTTGAAATGCTTTTTCCATTAGTATGTTCCAAGCAATGAAACTATTTGACTTGGAGATGAATAAACCTTAAAAAGTCTCCTAATAAGTATTTTAGTGGACTGAGAAACTATTATATCCCATATACACAATGATGTTATTAAATAAATATTAATATTTTTAGCATATAAATATTGTTGTCTACAGCATGCAGCATTATATCTATATCTCATTTTCTAAAAGTTTTCATATATGTCTATATAACAGTAAATACACTATTATTCTATATTATACATATATACTTGCATAAGAGAAAATATAGCAAATATAGAAAAAAATTGTGCATATAAGCATTCTAGAATTCACTGTACATATATACCCATTTTTGCAAGCCTGAAAATCTTTTAAGTAAAAGGTTGTTTTTCTTTGTATTCAGCAATACTATTTGTTTCAAAATAGTTTAAAACATCTATAGAGTACTGACTTTTAAACAAAAATGTGTTTATTTAAACAAAACTTTTAGAAGAAGAAAAATGCTGTTGAGTTTACCATTTAGCAGTTTTTATTTTAAGGCACTTTGGATTAATTTCTGTGAAATAAAATTTGATACAGTTATTTAGACGACCCAGCATCCCCTTGGGAGTGATGCATATAGTAGTTTTATGGCTGTCCCCTCACAGGTGATAGAGAGAGAGGACTGACTCGATGTGGAGGAAGGTTGGGTTCCATCTGTCACTCACGCACCATGAATGGTCAGAGGGCTGCGTGAAACAATGAGACTTCCTCTATTTGCTTTCTGAATTAAAGCTTAGACAAGCAAAATGCTGCAAAGTTTAAAATGGGGTGCTTTTAATGTGGCATAACTGTCAGCAATGTCAAATCCCTTTAATATTTCTCTGCACTTGCAGGAGGAGCCGAAGGCAGGACGTGAGACACGGGAACCCACTGACACAATGCCGAGGGTTCAACCTAAAAGGTATCAGAAGTGAGCGGGTGTTAGTCATGCCGAGGGAACCCACTGACACAATGCCGAGGGTTCAACCTAAAAGGTATCAGAAGTGAGCAGATGTTAGTCATGCCGAACATCTCCTTTAATAAGGAATCTTCACTCAAGTCACTCACTTAAGAACGTGTCATCCTGAGTTTGTAAAGTATTTGTTAGTGGCGATTAAACTTAAGTGCTATTTGTGTGACTATGGAGAACCACAAAAAACATGTGTTCTGGAGTACGTGGCAGCCAGTGTGTGAGCGGGTAGGTCCCTCACACAGATGGCAAACACAGATTCTCTTAGTTGCTTATTTCTTTCTGAAGCAAAATTTTACTTCTAAAATTCACTAACAAGTAACACAATAAACACTATTTTACTGAAGAAAATATACATAAGAAAATATTATGATTTTAATGATTTTGAACCATGGGCCTCTGTACTATTTAGCACATTCACCCTGTGTGACTATCTGCCAGATATCTTAGGGTCCTTACTGTCTTCCCAAACACAACCACTGCATTTATTAAATATTTGCTAAGCATCTCCTTTCCCCTAGTGCCTGCCAGTAACTGTCTAACTTTCTTTAGAATTTGACCCTTCTAGACACTTTGTGGGGTGGAATCCCACAGAATCTGTGATGCTCCGCATAGCTCTTTTTGTGTTGTCAGAGTCCCTTTACTCTTTAACGTGGATATGATTTTTTCATATTTATAAAATGCATTATGTGTTCCTAGCACATTTTGTTTATTAACTCATCCCTTTCTGGAGGCATGTACTGTCCCAGTACTACAGATGCAGGGAATAATCCTTCAGAGATCCAGGCTGAGACTCAACTACAGGCCTGCCCTGTTTTACAGTTAACCCAACCCCTTCCTCTTTGTCCTGACAAAGAGATGCCTTGTTGTTAAACTATTCATGGATCACTTCCCTCCACCTCAAACAGCTCTTTCTCCTGACTCACCTGGTGCTGCAGGCATATTATTTTAAAGATGAAACTATGTGCAAAATTTTATAAAATAAAGTTTATAAAATTAAAAAAAAAAAAACCTGAAATGAAGAGTAACCGCAGGACTCAGGTCTATGAGGCAGCAAGCCCCAAGTTCACTATACCGAGGCTAGAGACGAACTTAACGTTTACCACCCATTGGAGCCTGGCCCTTCACTTAGCAAAGAATGACATTCCTGTTCCTTTTATGGTAACCAAGATACAACTCTGCGGTAGACGTTTTGTTTTGTTGTTTCATACATCTAATTCAGGGAATTCATCTGCTTTGTCACTTGCTATTCCTGGGGCATTTTCATAAAACTTTATGTCAGTTCCTCTTTCTGATGCCCCTTGTCACAGTAGTGAGGAGAGTAACAGTGGAGGTAATGTCCAATATCGCACTGACTTTGGGTCTGAGCTCAAGGGCTTTCTTGTGATGACCTCATCCACTGTTTAAAACCTGTCACAACATCGATTTTTATCCCTGATTTAGGAAGAAAGCCTTCTGGTCCCGTTTTAACCTCTGCCTGGTTTCACTAAGTGCTTCCTTTCCCATAAAATTTTTATCTAAAAGTTTAAAAATATTATAATCTATGCTTCAGAAATGACTAAAGGAACACAGAGATGGCTCAAGTAACGTGTCTCACCTTACACAGCCAGTGGTGTGGACGGGCATTCATTTATCCCACGTGCCTTTGACTCCAAGCCTGGCTTTTCGATCATTGTATCATACTGTGGACATCCCACAATTTCTGTTTGCGCTTCTTCCATTTCTCACTGAGTATGATCTCGTGAATGGCATAAACTGAGCTCCCATTTTGTCTGGCACTTCACACTGCATTTACAGGGTACTCCTTTATATATTACACATGTTATGTACGTACAGATATATAATCATGTACCCATGTCATTCATGCCTCATGACCTCACTTTGTGCAACTGAGAAAATCTAACTAAAAGGCTGTTATAATAATTAATTAAAGTTGTTACAATCCTCAGTGCAGAGTAATAAATGTGTACCAATAAAACCTTAGGTAACTTTTAGTGTCTCTTTTACTTTACATTAAAACAAAATGGCTAGACCCGTAAATTATACCTGCTACATTATTGTGACAGCCATACTGAACACAATTTTACAGAGAGAAGCTTTCACGTAGAGGAGTACTCTCTAAATCTCTTCTCTCTCATTCCTCTGATTTCTGCTTTTCAGCATACAGAAATGCAGCTGAAATTGTTCAGTATGGAGTAAGAAATAATAGCACTTTCCTTGAGTGTGCCCCCAAATCTCCACAGGCATCTATCAAGTGGCTGCTGCAGAAAGATAAAGACCGGAGGAAAGAGGTGAGTGGCCTGCCCCACCTCCCAGCTGTCCATCAGGACCCTGGGAGGAGCACTAAATCCCAGTTCTTAGGGAGGCACAGATGAAACTGGGAAGTGAGGACACAGAAACATCCTTTTAGGTCAGTGCCAAGTCATTGCCGTCATCTTTAAAATCCTTTGTCCTCAGACTGGGGGATTAATGAGAAATCTGCTCTGCCCAGCTCCTCTGTAGCCTTAGTGCTTGTAACAAGAGCTCAAGTGCTAGGACGGAGTGGTCATGTAAGGAGGCACTCGTGAAAGAAAAGATGCCTGCAAAGCCAGCAGCTCAGACTGCGTACAACAGCACCTCTGTGTGACTCACAGCATAAAAGGAGCTTTAAAAACATTCCGTTTTCCTCAGCAAGAAATTATGTTGAACTATAACCCTTCCTTCATAGCAAGGAGCATTTTTCTGCTGTGTGGTCATGTTTCCATTGCATTAGCATTCATGACCCTTATATGTCACTCAGGTAATTTATGTAATAATTGCTTATGAGGCCACTGGATTTATTTATTGTTAAGGAAAAAGACCCCTAGACTTGCAAATAAATACATTCTTACTCTAAAATTTTATTGATTATAAAGAACTGTTTGGAAAGAATGGCATTGCAAATTGGCATAGAGTGACATATTGTAAATCCTGAATTCCATGATGCTGATGTCACACTGTCCTGACAAATGAGAAGAAAAAATCACATGCACATACATGCAACCTCTAATTCTATAATGCATGTTGTTACTATACTCAATTTCGATGGCGCCAAGCAGAAACTGGATGCACTCCCTGCATTTGTGTAGGTTCTATTGTAGGTGCTTTTGTTTCTTGTGGTGTTAATCAAGGCTTTGCAAGTGCACATGACTGAAAGCTGTAGAACACAGACACTGTATCAAAGTGACTGGGACCTTGGTTCCATAGGAAAAAACAGGTCCAACTCTCACCCTTGCTTATTCAAATGTGTTATATGGTCTTTAGTAACTGAATTCCATGAGGCTGAAACATTAAATCATAGGCTGATGACCATTTGCATAAGTGGAGATTAAATTGTGTGGCAGAAAGGATAGAACAGGTGGGCTTTGGAGCTCCCTATTTCCTCTGAATCCATTGATAGTTTAAAAAAATTTGTTGTTTTTTGTTTATTTATTTCTTTTTTTGAGTAAAACCAAAACTTATTCTAAGCCACAGTCATCCTAGGGTCCCCCCACCATATAGCCTCCCTGGTTCTGTGGGTTGCAATCTGATTATTCTTTGCTTTGTATCTAGAATCCACTTACGAGTGAGTACATACCATGTTTGTCCTTCTGGGTTTGGGTTACCTCACTCAGGATGGTATTTTCTAGTTCCATCCATTTGTCTGCAAATTTCATGCTGTCATTGTTTTTCTCTGCTGAGTAGTACTCCATTGTGTATATGTACCACATTTTCTTAATCCATTCTTGTAAAGGACCCAGTTTCAGGTTCCCTGTACCCATACCAGGAAGCTCACAAACCCCTGTACCTCCAGTTTCTGAGAATCCAAGTCACTCTGACCTCTGCTGCCTGGCACCTGTAGCTACATGATGAATATTAACTCACTCAATATTATACATTTTAAATCTAAATACAACCTTTGATTTGGATTTTATTAACAATTAAATGTACTTTTGTGCAGAACTTTGATCATGTAAAAATGTTCACATGTATTACCTTTCTTGATTTTGGTCCTGTTTCTGTTTTTACTCAAAGAGAGATAATCCAGATTATAAATACCAGAAAACTTCCCACCACATGATTTCTTGGTATCTTCATTGACAACACAATAGCTACTATTTTAAGGCAATTAATTGTGAAGCAAATGGATCTCATGTGTGTAGCCAATACCCAGCGATTGGTCATTTTCTATTATGAGCCTTATAGTGACTAAACACTACCACATGTTTTTATTATCTTGTGGAAATAAATTTTTTTGAAAGTCTTGTAAAGTAATGTCCTTGCAACTTATTTTTAGGCATCCTGTAGTGTGATAATTGGACAAGATCCTTGAAAACATTCAAAATTCTGTGTGTGTGTGTGTGTGTGTGTGTGTGTGTGTGTGTGTGTGTGTGTGTATGTGTGTGTGTACCTGTGTTGAGAATACTTATTGTAAAAAAAAGAAAGAAATGAACCCCATAATAGTTATTTTCTGCTTTTACAAGTGAGTAGTTTCATAAAAATTAAAATTAAAATAATTTCAGGGCTAAATGGATATCATGTAAGAATTTCATTAATATAAAACTGTTTCCTATGAATCAGATGCCAAAAGAACTACCAATCTTGTGTTTGTGTAGGGTGAAACTACATTTGTCTGAAGGGAAATTGTCTTAGTTAGGGTTACTGCCGCTATGATAAAACACCATGACCAACTTGAGGAGCACAGGGTTTATTTGACTTACACTTGCATATCGCTGTTCGTCCTTTAAAGAAGTCAGGTCAGGAACTCAAACAGGGCAGAAGCCTGGAGGCAGAAGCTGATGCAGAGGTCATGGATGGTTGCTGCTTACTGGCTTGTTCCCCTTGGCTTGCTCAACCAGCTTCCTTTTCTAATCAGGGATTATGTATTATTTTATTTTTAAATCTCATAAAAAGTATATAACCAAGAGTGAACACATCAGTTTGGTGCATTCCCCCTGTTTATTTATTCTTCTCTCATATAATACATTCTGACTGCAGTCTCCCCGCCCTCCACTCCTCCCAGTCACCACTCCCTTCCCCCTACTTGTTTCCTCCCTAGGTCCACTGCAGCTGTGTTTCTCTTCAGAAAAGACCAGACTTCCCAGTTATATCAACTGAGCATGGTATATCAAGAGGCAGTAATAATAGGCACAAATCCTTATATTAAGGCTGGAGGAGGCAACCCAGTAGGAGGAAAAGGGTGCCAATATCAAGCAAAAGAGTCAGAGACACCCCCACTCACACTGTTAGGAGTCCCACAAAAACCTCAAGCAAAACAGCCACAACATATATGCAGAGGGCCTATCATAGACCCATGTAGGCTCCGTGACTGCCTCAGCCTACTTTCTTATAGAACTATAAACCACCAGCCCAAGGAGGGTGCGACCCACAGTGGGCAGGGCTCACCCATGCCAATCACTAATTAAGAAAATGATATACAGCAGAATCTTATGGAGGTATCTTCTCAGTTAAGACTGGAGGCATCTTTTGGAGGCATCTTCTCAAATTCTCCTTTCAGGTAACTCTAGATTGTGTCAATTTGATGTAAAACTTGCCGTCACAGGAACCCACTTCAGATTTTCCTGTGTGAGTGGTACCTTTACTATCTCTTTCGGTAGTTCAAGAGACAAGATTGCACATTGTAGACAAAAGAGTGTATGTGATTAGTGGAACTAACCATAATGTTGCATACTGTGAGACAGAAGATCCTCAATGCTTCTGCCTAGTTGTGAAACTTTTTTTTTGGTATATATTGAGTGTATTGTTTTAGAAATCATAGTCTTCCATTTGGGACATTCATGGTGTTTCTCTCATAGGTTAAGCTCAATGAGCGAATTATAGCCACTTCCCAAGGACTGCTGATTCGCTCTGTTCAGGATTCTGACCAAGGGCTCTACCACTGCATCGCCACTGAGAACAGCTTCAAGCAGACCATAGCCAAGATTAACTTCAAAGTTTTAGACTCAGAAATGGTGGCCGTTGTGACAGACAAGTGGTCCCCATGGACATGGGCTGGCTCTGTGAGGGCTCTACCCTTTCATCCAAAGGACATCCTGGGGGCATTCAGCCACTCTGAAATGCAGCTCATCAACCAGTACTGTAAAGACACCCGGCAGCAGCAGCAGCTGGGAGAAGAGCCACAGAAGATGAGGGGGGACTATGGCAAGCTGAAGGCTCTCATCAACAGCAGGAAAAGCAGGAACAGGAGGAATCAGCTTCCAGAGTCATAAACGCTCATCTGTGGGGCTTTGCTTCCAGTAACAAATGCTCTGTCTTCACTGGTCAACTACTGAGCAAAGTCTTGTGCTTTACCCATGAGAAATTCCTAACAAAAGCTGGAGACTCGCTCTCAAGTGTGTTCTCTGTGAACTTAAATGAGCATGCATCTTCTTGTATGATACAGACTAGCACTAGACATGTCATGGTCTTCATGGTGCATAGAAATATTTAACTTATCCCAGATTTTATTTATATCTTTATGTGTCTTTTCTTCAGCATCAATGCAGCAGCAGAAGCAGAACTGTTACATCCTCGGTTGAGCGAGGGCCATAAATTACCCTGTGCTGTTCCTTCCCTGCTCTAGGGGTTTAGCTTTTTAATTGTCAGTGGTTTTTATACATGAAAACGAATTCCAATTCACAATTTTCACATAGTAAATGTCATATAAATGCCTGTGACAGAATAGCAATCCAAAGTCGTGTAGGTTAGACAAATGACGGGGAAGGGAGCATCCAGATGTTACTTAAAAGTTAAGTGTGACTCATAAAGAGAACATGATGAGTTCACATGCTTCCAGTGAATTATATTCTTGCTTGTTCCTTTGTTTAAGATCATAATATGTGCCAGTTACTGAGATTTGCCATTAGTCTCTGTCCTCTTGTTTCAGGAAGACCAAATGAATAGCCTGTGCTGTCCAGGCCTTCGATGGGAGACGTCTCTGTAAGGCATAAGGCATTGGTATTTCTACTGTTAGGTTATCATCTTCCAAATAAAAGCACTTTGTTTTTTGGAAGTTATTTAAGTTATTATAGACTTACATATACTCTTACATTATTTAATTGATTTACTGCTTGATTTCTGTTTCCTAGTCTGCTTGGCAAATTAAACAAAACAAGGAGGAAGCATTGTTAAAACATCCAACTTCTCCATACAGAGTGAAACTATCAAAACGTTTGGATTGTTTGTGAAAAAAGTATACTAAAATTATTTTCTCCAATTTAAAAACTAAATGGATAAATTATGGAAAATTTCCTCATACTTCTTTTAATGATAGAACTTCAATTTTTAAATTTAAATTTATTTTAATACATGTTTATATTTCCAGAGAGAAAGAGAAATTGTACCCAACACTATTGAAACACACCTCTTATTAACAGTCATAACCAAGGTAATGAAGGGGGATCTGCCTCCTTTTTGAGAATTGTAAACAAAACTCCAGAAGGAAAACCATGTGTAGGGTGTAAGTTGGTGGTAGATTACATGTTTGGTATGCACAAGGACCTGGGTTTAAATATAAAGAAAGGAAGAGAGAGAGGGAGGAAGGGAAGCAGGCAGGAAAGAAGGACAGACAGACATGATAGAAGGAAGGTCAGGAAGGAGGAAAAGAGGGAAGGGAATATGGAGGGATTATATCCATTACCAGAAGATGAAAATGTGTTTAGTTAAGTGATGGTAAATTTTGATGTTCTAAGAGGACACCTCAGTGTTATAGAAAACAATTAAAGCAGAGCACATAAATGTCATCCAATTTTGTTTTTAAATTATTATTCCAAATGTGTACTGCTACAGTAAACGACAGTGTTCCCATATGCAAATGGTTTTCATGCTTAAAACAGTCATATTTTATTTTTTCTTATACATGCAAAAATTACAGTGTGTTTATGTGCAGTGCTAACACGGTCCTCTGTGTTTGTGATTCATCTATTGTATAAACATTTAAAGTAAAATGACTTCCAAAGCACAGTCCCCTTGCTCCACATAACTTCAAACTGCTAGATGGTGATGTTTAATTCTATGCTATTATTTGTGTTATTTAATACCTCCTGTTTTTACCTTAATTACATGCTCATTGCTTTCCTTTTAAAGATACAGAAATTACTCTTCAACATAACCCTGCCAAATGTAAAATATATGTATTTCTAAAAAACATAATTAATACATATTGAATATGGGTGACTAGTTGGGTTTTTGTGTGTGTGCTTGGGCAGTTTGATGATTTAACATGTTTTTCATTTGTATTGTATATACAATTACCTAGATATGCACTTTTCCCCTCCAAGTGTAGGTTTGTAAGTAGACTTAGCATGATGAAGCTGTCATTACAGTGAATGATCGCCCTGTTTAGAGAAAGCAAACTCAATGTAGTTACCACATGAAAATTTAATTAGACGTTGAAGAAATCATTTGTCTGGCAAAATAAAACATTGAACTCCCTGGAGGATGTCTTTCACTTTTCTTTTTAGCATAGTATGTGTTAATATGATAGAAACTACTGAATTGTTATTATCATTTAACGATTGTTATCTGATTTTGTGAAAACAAACCATGAAATATTTTAGAATTTAAGAATTCCAGAATACATATATCTCATAGCAGTAGCCTTCATTCAAGTTCAAACTTGAATCCATCTACTAACATCCACCTTCTATGTATATTTATATAAACACATTAGCATATGCAAATCAGTACATTTTTAGCCTCAGTATTTTACATTTACCCATGCCTATCTAAGTTATTCATAATATATCATGTCTATAATTTTAAATAATTGTAGTTTGGAAATGCAAATGACTGGATTCACTCTACCTACATTTAAGTTCAGGTTTATGATTTTATTTTGGGAAAGACTTTATGTTTCTCTCTACCTCATATTCTGAATTGGGCAGAACACATCATATATTCACATGTTCAAAAATATTATGACATTGCCCAGCTTTTCTAGAGTAGGAAGGAATCCTTCATCTGTGTTCTATGTCAAATTCGGCATCAGTCATCCAGGTAGGAAGCCTATGGTCAAAGGATCAGCTGGTACCTACCCAAGTAGAGAGAGTCCTTTATAAACTTGAGAGGAGGAAGCCACAGATGGGCTCACATGACACATCAGAGTGACAGGACCACTGCAGCTTTCTTCTGTCTTGCTGTGCCATGTAGTTAAGGCTGTTAAAAAGCTGAAGTATAAAAGAAGACATAACCAGACCAAGTAAACCACAGTGTTCATTTTATTGAATATTCAGAGTTTTGCTGAATTCTATGCATGACAATAAAGTAGTTGAAGATCATTGTGGAAAATGTTTTATTATTTTTTTGTGAGAGTTTATCCACCATCCTTTCAACTGACAAAATTCTGCACAGGAATCTAAACCCTTCTGCAAAAACAAAACCAATCACAAGTGCATGCCAACTGGTGAATTTCACGACCAGTAAGTTGTCACATAGGTGACCTCTGATGTACAGTCCTGTTTTCGTGGATCCACAACAACATTTTGCATACAGGCATCGGGAGACAGAAGAGCAAGCTTCATGATGTAACAAGTGTCGTCTTCCTTCGAGTGACTCGAATGTATTTATTGATTCACCTCATAAAATTCCACTTTCCAAATAGTTAGAATTGTGTATTTCTCAGGGCTATTATGTTGCCATGCCTGAGTGTTCCTTACATAAAACGCTATTGAAGAATGACATTATAATAAACACATTAAAACTGTTTATTCTATGTAAGGTTACCTCTCTACCCAAAGAACAAAAAGAGTAAGTTTTTATTCTTCAAGTGTTTTTTTTTCCTTCTGAGTTATCCATGCAAAAATGCCATCCACAGAGTTTATGAGATCAAAACCGAATTATTTTGGCAAGGCACAATGGCTATTTGATGAATTGTTACGAAAATGAGTCACCACCATTGCTTCTCTGGATACCTTCCAGTGTGCATGTGACCCCACGGCTCGTGACATGAAAAGCCTTCTATTTTCTCAGGTCTTGTCATAATTTCCCTCCTACAATTTGAAATGAGACAAAAAAGTTACACCTTTTAACTTCCTTCGTATTTATTTTGAGGATAAATCATAATCTTCTTTACTAAGCATTCACATCCCACATACTGGGGCACAGAATGTGGACTGATGAGGTAACTTGTTTTGAGGCACTAGGAACTGGCAGTTATAGGTATGATGTGATGCCAGCAGTTTGTTTCATAGACAAGGGAAAATGGCCACAGGAAACACAATGTAACGGAGACCCACAAACGTCAGACAGTCCTAGTGATTTCTTTATATGCTTATATGTATATGTTGATCTATGTACTATGTACTTATATTCACAGATGAGCCAAATTTAATTTATTAACTATTCCAGAATAAATTTCAGTTTCTACTTCAAATTTCTATTCCATCTTCTACACTTAGAAATGTTTCAAAAGCCCTCTCAATAAATTATTGAATTTTTTTAAACCTAATTTTATTATTATTGTATTTGGATGAATGTTTCTCCTGAATGTATGCATGTGCAACACGTGAATTCCTGGCACATGAGGAGTGTGGTAGAGGCCACTGGATCCTATGAAACTGGGGTTACATACAGACAGTTGATAGCCAACTTGCGGCTGCTGGGATTCGAACCAGAGTTTTCTAGAAGAACAAAGAGTGCTTTGAACCATTGAGCTCTCTCCTCAGGCCCCACAGCTGAGAATGACACAGTTCTGTGCTCCATTCTAAAGCTTTATGAAGGTTTTGTCCTTGTAATTACCTAGGTCTCCTGCAGCATCAATCTGACTTCACCCAGGTAATGAGTCTAAATACATGATGGAGATCTTACTCTGACAGCGGTTACAGCAGCCTAAGAATTCCAGTCTTCTTACTAATGTTCACTTATGGAGCATTTTCTGTGACAATTTCCATGTGGAGTTCATGATGTGCATAAGTGTCTATTTCCTTCTCAGGATGTCCTGAAATATCAATAAGTAGTCTGTTCTATAAATGACAAATTTATATTTGAAGTGTTTAGATGTGTCTGATGCATTTAAAGGTTTTTTTGTTTTGTTTTGTTTTACAAATGACTTAAAAATGTGGAAAATGAAATGTGTGGTTATAGACCTTAAGCATCTTCCATCTGTAGCAATATTCATTAGAAAACATGCTCATTTGCTCCAGTTTTGTATGTGTCAGGCTTTGTAATTTGATTAGCAAGACACTTGAGGAACTAAAAATGCCTAGGCTTCGTCTTTCTAACTCACTACTCTTAACTATGCAAATCTACAGTTGTCAAAACATGAATCACATGGTCCTGTGGTCAAGCTTAATTGAGATTATTCACATAGAATCTGTAGTAGTCACCTGATGTAAAAAGAATAGTATATGTTTTGGCCTTTTTTTTTTTTTGCTGGCTCTGCTATTGAAAATACTATTTATTAATTTTCTCACCAAATATTTATGGAGCACTCATTAGGTAAAAAGTATGTGCTTTCTAATACAGAATACAGTAATAACCCTGTTGGTGTGAAGCTTTCCACAGGCAGAAGTAAGTGAACAGTCAAGCAAGCAAGTATCCTGTAAGTTAAGCTAAGTGTATTAAAGAAAAGAAAGGAAGGTGTGGGGATCCTGTGTAAATCAAGGGGCATTCCAGACAGAGGAGCAAACTAGTAAGGCAGACTAGTAAGTCAGAAGCAATTCAAGAAGATTTCATTTAAACCAAACAATTGTGGCTAAGACACATTCCATAGGTCAATCAGCCAAGCCAGCGGGGTCAGGTGACCACGATGAGGCACTTAGGTTTGTTTCTAGCATTACAAAGTCAAGGAAGGATTTATGCTCTATGGCATATGCAGCTGGCTCTGTTTAGAGGTCTGTGGAAACGGAAAAAAAAGAAAACAGGACATCCAACTAGGGTCTAAGACAGTTGACACATCCAAGTGTTGTCTTCCATCCACACAAAGACAAAAAGGATCATAACAGTCTCTTCTGGGATGCGTCTTTGAACTAGAGAGAAGGGGTGAAGTGTACTGATGTCATCCCATGAGGATCAGGAAGTTGCTCTGGGAGAAGCACCGACATCAGAAAGAGGTCAAGGGGTCAAGGGAGCTCCAGCAGTGATCCTGGACTATGATAGGCAGAAACTGTCTGGGGGATTTATTATCCATACTATCCAGAAGAATATATGGCTTAGGTTTCAGTATGGGAAAACAAAACAAAAATGGTGCTGTATGCATGTTAATGTCTAAGACCAGGTGTGTCCCATGCACAGTGGCTCTAAACATCAAAGGCTGCGGTTCCATCTCTGGGTAACAGGTAACAGCGAGGTAATAAACACTCGCTGAAGATATAATAGAGAGGATGAGTTCTCCAACTCGCTGTAAGGTATAGCAGCAATTAACTAGGTAATTCCACATAGTTTATCTGGTAATTAAAAGAGGTTTATTTCAGGGATAACTTACAGCCAATAAGGGATCGTTTACAGGATCTGGGAGAGATGAGGTGCAGTCCAGTGGTTTTCTGGAGAACTCTGACTTGGTCTGCAATCCAGCACTCAGGATCAGGAAGAGCCAAGAGAGCCCACAAGTAGGCATCTCAGGTCTTAACTGGTCTCGCCTTGGCCTTGCCCCAGGGGCAGGCAATAGACAGATGTGGCAGTTACCTGCTATCTCACTGGGGGCAGTTCTTCAAGGTCAAAGTTGGAACAGCTACCTACTACAGTAAGGACTTATGCCTCAATACCTTATTACTTAATCCTGATATTATTTACAGGGAAAGGATGCATTTTATTCTAGGATTTGGAAAGAAGCTAGCTGAAAGGACATTAATACAATGGAGTTTGGGTAAAATATCCCTTTATAGAAAAGCAACATGCTCTGTTTGGGACCTCAACCTTTAATTAAGGACCAGAGGTCAGCACTGAAGCAGGGAACCTGGACTGTTACCGCTTCCACAAATGGCTACTCTCCTTTACCACATCAGTGAAGGGGACCAAGTTCTAGAAAAATGGTCTCCAGACTCCCTTAAGATGCTTGCACCACAAGTTGGCATTTAGGATGGGAGCTGGAAAAAAAAATCTATTTTCCTTCTCTGTAACAGAATAATTATGAACACTTGGAGATGAAAAAACTTAAGGAAGATTAATCTGGGGATGAGAAAGAACCAACGGCAGAAATACGTGTTTGCCTGCCTTTTGGTGTTAGCCTCCAATGTCATCAACCCAGAACTAGGAGCTGGCACCATGAATGGTATTACAGTCTGTATAGAGAGAGGGAGAGGAAAAATGGCTTTTTAAAGAAAGGTTCATCAGTGTAGGAAGTCCTAGGCTCATATTTAGAAAAAAAATATTTACCTTGAGTGATGAATTAACTGCTTGTTGTCCGGGCTGGAACATAAGTTTGGAGAAACAAGAGTCAATGAGCCCAAGAGGTGAATGAAGATTAGTCATCATATCATACATTTGTTTAGTAAAGTTACC